GAAAGGGATCGGCCATAGTCAACTCGGTTGACCAAATGGTAAAGAGAAAAGCTAAGTCTGTGATAGTCTCGTGTACCATTATCAAAGGGTCCATATGTTTATATTGCCAAAGGAAGGGCATTGGTTGCGAAGCTGCCAATTTACCTAAGGATGTTAAAGTCAATAAGTTTGACTCTACTTCAGGTAAAGTCCACTATCTAACTCTGCTAAGTTTCTATTCTGAGATTTTGATTACATGATGTGACTGGGTCACATGGTGATGTTTTAAGAATCAAAGAAAAGTGAAGGAACTTAAAGAAAGAATATGTTGAATCTGATCGCATAGATGGATTTCTATCGCGTAGTTTGAAGATCGGATTCTTGAGCTACTTCTTAGGAGTTATGAGTATTGCTTAGGAATAGATAACAACAAGTTTTCATATGGATTGTAAGGATAAGTTTTTCCGCATAGTTTTAAAATAAAAGAAAATTTTTGATTTTATTTATTTTAAAATATCCTTACAATGGCATTTGAGGAAAAATTGTTGCTTATATGATTCCATTAATAGCAAGAGTGGAAATATGAAATTGATTCCTTCATTTGTGGTAATGTCTAAATTTACCAAATAAGGAAAGATTCTCATCATCCAAAGTCTCAATTGGACCGGGACTTGGAATCATGCAAGTTGTATAGCATGATGAATGAGAACTTTCAAGTATTGGAAAAATTAAGACTAATTACTTGTTCACATGGATGTGTGAGTCAAGTAATGGACTAAGGGATCGAGTACATAGTCATGTGCACTGATTAAGTCCACCACAAAAGATATAAGGCTATTCGTCATAGTTTACTAAAGCTCAGTAAATATGATTATACTTACAAGCTTAAGTGTAACTCTGAGACATTGGAAAAGGTTCCAATGCAGAGAGCGAATAAGAAGAATCAAATTAGGCAGAAGGATAAAAGTTTCTCAAATCTAAAAGATGGGAGAGTACTTTAGTATCAGTTTTGTGATCATCTTAATGATTAAGAAACCATATCAAAATTAGTTCTCTAAGGAAGTCTTAGTGCATTCTTATGACTAAGAAGAAGGGATCTTGAATTGTTGAAATGGTTAAATCAAGAAGATGAGTCATACTTCGTTCCAATACAAGTCTTAGAGTCATACTCCAAGATTGTAACTTGAGTGACATGTCTAAAGAAGGTTTAAAACACTTGTCAAATGTAAGAGTAAAAGTTTTCTACTCTTGTACATTTGAAATTGGTAAGTTGTGATGTTTTGGATAAAACAAAGACCAACTAAGGCCAATTGTGTGAAGTGTTTGTCTTGATTAGAATCCGCACTATCTCTTGGATGTTTGACAAGAGAGTCTTATAGGTCAAGAGGACAGTGGGAGTCTTAAAGGTCTTGAAAGTCTCAAGAACTAATCAAGAATAAAACCTAAAGTTCTTCACTAGCACACGACTTGAGGTTTATAACCTATCGTGTTGACATATTCTGTGCCCATTCCAGTTAAAGTTGGCTTTGCATATGAGTTCTTAGAGTTCTCAATTGGTTGCACAACAACTTGGAAGCAATGGTAGGCCCTTGAGCTGCCAGGTGGCAAGAAATTAAGATTGAGTTCAGTCCATATGAGTTTGGATTTGTCATTATCCTTGTCTTGTGACTATGGTTTTGACAATTCACATGGATAAGAACACATACACCATTAAATCTAAGTGTCATAAGGTTTCTCTCCGATTCATGAAAATGATGGTGAGGAAACACTTTCACTAAGTAGATTTTAGTTAGATAGCAATTGTGATATTTGCATTCTCAAAGTCGTTAGTGGAGCGTGTGTGGTTTACCGGCACACTAACCTGGACTTGTGAGAAGTGGCAAAAAGGTCTAACCATTATGATTACGGCATCCCTCTTCATAATTGTTTAGACACACAAGTGTGCTATCTAAGGGAAGGTGTATGATTTTGATAAAGTTCTATCAAAACAATCAGTATCAGAAATCTGAACTTTGGTAAGAAGTCAATAAAGTATTGATTTCTAGAAGTCCACTGATTTCTGAGTACATGTCAAAGCTAGTGGGAGCATAAGTGTTATGCTAATAATCATCATGTTAGTGGGAGCATGATAATTATGATAAGTATTGCAAGTTAGCAATGTTAATTATAGAAAACAAAAGGTTTCAATTGGGAAAAAGTTGTTTTGCTATAATTAAGGGAGAGGAAATTATACTTCATCTCAAATCTATAAGCTTAGATCGTGAGGTTTTAATCATTTAGTCAAGGAAATATATATGAATTTCATGTTGGAATGGCTCAACATAAGGAAATTCTGTATATGGGTCCATTATTTGCGTTCTTAAATTCGATTATGATTACGGCATCCCTTTTCATAATCTGAATTATGAGAACTTGGCAAATAGAAATGGAAATGTTATAGCAAAAGACTGGTTTAGTCTTTATGTGAGACATCATGAATCGTGTCCCATATGCTTCGGATATAGGATCGATTACATGTGCTATAGTTATCCGTTCTAAAAGTTTCCAAATGCCTGGGGCATTAAGAAGGGAAAAGGTTTAGAACTGGATATGACTAAAAGGATTAAACAATTGTCGAGGACAATCTAAGGTTTACCAAAGATTGGTTGCTCAAGGACAATTGGAAGTATAGTGATAATTCTGGAAGGACCATATTGACATAATCTGTAAGGAGGCAACTCTTGTTCAGAAGTGATAGTCAAAATGGAATCTGGAAATGTTTCAAAGTTAGAATTTTCAATCTGTTAAGATTAGGAAACTTAATGCAAGAAGGATGTTTCCAAGGAGCTGATCTCCTTTGGAATACTCTGTAATGATTGTTGTCAAGTCTTTCTGACTTTGTGCATAATCATTACAAGAGATCAATGCATATAAGTTTAGAATCTAACAGATTTCAGTAAATGGCATGAATTTGGAATTCTTGCATTTGCAGTAAGGATTTGGGAGTGTGAAAAGAGAATCATTGAAGTTATGTTCAATTGATCTAGTTCACAAAGTAAAGATCATAGACAAACATAGTATGCATACTTGGTGTATGGCATGACTAGTGTTTAGAAAACATAGTGTACATGCTTGGAGCATGGGACAACTATTGTTTTAAATTCAAGAATAAAGTTGATAGCTGAAACAGTATACAATGAATAATGTGTAATCATATGGTGATAAATAAAAGGTGTTTTATTTATGTTCATAGGTTTTGATACCATATTGGATTCAATTATTATTGTGTTTCACTTTGCATGTTTTGACTTCCCGAATAAACTAGGTTATTCTTCCGGAATGACTAAGTTATTCAAACCATCCACAGTCGGTCATATGTTGGAAGTAGATATGAATTAAGACTGTCATGGGTTGGCTTGTAGAGGTCTAAGGTGTTGGACAAAGGGCTACAACACTCATGAGTGCTCATAAGTTCTGAGTATTGGATTCAACCCGCACTCATTGGAATCACTTCATGGATTTTATCACGAGTGATCATGAGATGATAATATCTTATATTCTTCAAACCTAGAGATATGAGTTGTTACTATGAGTTGGTTGTACATTGATTGCACGAAACCGCATTTGGTAACTCGGTGCTATAAAACGTGCCTTTGTGTATGATTCAACAAGTAGTAGAACAGGGCCATACGAGTCGAAGTTTATCCATTCCTTTTACCTTCGGGATAAAAGCGATATCTGTGGGCCCCTCGATGATTTGATGATGACAAATGGAAGTGCTCGGCCGGGCCAGGACTGATTTGATTTGTTCAATTAGTCAGACATCATAAATCGGAAATCGGGAAACAACAAATGGACAGAGAGAATGATTATAATCCATGTCTCAGTCCATATGATACCTAGAATGGAGGAATATATGATCCCTTATCTAATGGAAAAAGTCATTGACAAAGGTCAGCGTTTATCGACAAGGTCAGAGTTCGACAGAAGCTTTTGAGAGCTACGATTGCCAGTTGGTTCCTGAAGTCATACGCAATAATAATTTTAGACTTATCCAAGTGGGAGACTGTTGGATTAATTTCTAAGTCCATAACTATAATTGGTAAGACTTGACCCGACCCGGCATGGTCCATTTGGGTTGCATGGCATCATGCACTTGGATAGACTATAATGAGAGAAATAAGACACTTATGGTTATTAATATATTATAAGTTCTAGTATATTAATAATAAGAATAATAAGATTATTTAATTAGTATTGATCAAGAATTAATCTAGGATTAATTATGTGATCAAAAGAAGACTAATTAAATATATGGGTTGATTGTGTAAATCATCCATACTTGTATAGTGGGCTAATGCTCCATGGATAATCAAGTTGGGCTAAAACCCATAGGATGGTCCATGGATGCTCCATGGTGTATTTGAACCCATGGATCCAAGGAAATGGAAAGTCATGACAATTAGGGTTTACCCTAATTGTATAACTATATAAGCATCTTATTCTTGATCAAAATCGGCCACTAGAGAGAGAAAGAAAGGTCTAGCCAATTTCATGAGGTGTAGAATTCTCTCAAGTTATTCCAAGTGTCTTTGGTGTTGTGTGAACCATTTGAGGTGTCACACTTGGGGCACTAGGCACTCAAGCTTCATGAAGACAAGCACTAAAAAAAGGTATGTTATTCTAACTTGTGTTATTCAAAGTTTTGTATGCTAGATTAGGATAATACCTTGGATGTTCATATTTGCGTGTATAATAGAGAAAACATAGATCCAAGGTATTTAGGGTTGCATGTACACTTAGGAGTGTTAGAATGCTCATAATCCAACAGCCTCATCATACCATAAATGAAGGCCATAATCTAACGATGCTTCTCATGTAGAATGTCCATACACTGCATCACATCACGTAAAGTCGGCTCTTGATCAGGCTCCACATATCTAGGTCTCTAATACCTCATAAAGGCAAGCTAAGTGATATGCTCTAAGTCCATCACTATAATTGGTATATACTTGACCAGCTCTTGATCAGGCTCCACATATCTAGGTCTCTAATACCTGTCTAATAGGTTCCACAACATCATTATTCGGAATCCTCCACTGTCGATCGTCTCCACGAACCAACACTTGTATCTTCCCTAGAGCAGTCGTACCCAACTTCCTAATAGGAATAGGAAACATCCCACTAGTATCAAGCTCATAAGACAGGGCCAATTGAGTGACCCAATCACCACCACAAATCTTTCTCGAGTGCATCGAACCTAGAACCACACTAGACAAATAGAGAGCAAGAGCGAATGAGAGAATGTAGGAAACCTCAATATGAGTAAGACACCATAAGCAGAGCAGGTCCCTTGAAGGAACTTTTTCATGCTCCTTGAGATGACAAATAGTAGAAGCGACCAATCGGTGAAGTAACAGATAAGTAAGAGATCTAAAGCAAATTTCCTTGGCCATCCTAGAGACGTAGGTCCCTATGGCATGACCCCAAACCTGCATCTAGCTATACTCCTATGGTGGCTCAGTAATGTCGTTGTCAAGGTAAGAAAAGAAATAAGGACTAGCAGTCTCCTCTTCTATGTAAATCCCCTGTCATGTCCCCAGATTAAGTAAGCTACTGAAGTGCGATATGTTGTCGAGGCAAAGAGAGAAAACCGATCGATCAGCCCAGTTCGTCGACGTTTTCTCGAATCGAACTATAGAAAAGAACTCCAATTAGAGCCATTTTTAGATAAGTTCCCGAATCCTAATAATCTGACACCATCTCTAGCAACTAAATAGCTCAAGACCATTATCATAACGCAAGACCCAAGTAAGGAGTGGCTCCAGACGAGCTGTCAACCCAAATTCAACCGCAAAGCTCCAGGTAAGAGCCTGAGGGATGCTCATCTTCTTAGACAGAAGACCAATCGACCGAGATACAAAAGAACTTTGATCGACAAGATTAGCAGGGAACTATAAAAAGGGATGAGATGGATAGTTAGGAGGTTATTGACCTACCACCTTACGATCACGTCTCGACATATCGGTAGAAAAATAGGAAAAGGGAAAATTAGGGAAAATAATTTAAGATAAATATTGCATTAGGTGTTGAAACATACCACATACGTAAAGGTTCGCGCTGCATGCATGTGCATTTGCGATGTGCTCCAAAAACACGAAAAACAGCAGATTTAGAAATCTGTTGTTTCGTCCAATTTTCAACACAAGGACCAATAGGGATGTTCGACTAAGCTTTTAGAGTAAAAATAATTAGTCTGTTTTGTCTAATATACTAAAATTGAAAGATTTAGTTTCAAAAAAATTCAAAATTTTATAACGAAATAAACTCAAAATTTTGTATTAGGACAGTAAAATCGATTGTATAGGAAGCCCAAATGATATCCCATTACAAGAAATTTGACATAAATCAGTCAAATTGTAAAAGCCTCAAAAAAGCCCTAAAACCCTAATTTGAGAAATATAGGAAGTTAGGATTAGTTTAGATGATACCTTGAAGTAGAGGAATCAAAGAAATGCTAAAAATTGAAGGCTAAGATGATGAGCGTGGTGTGCTTGTCGTGTGAGTGGGGACCGATCGACACAAGGGGTAAAGGAATATTTAGGGAAAACACATCGAATCATGCAAAAATCGAATTTTAAGCCGCTCTATCTCGCGCGTAAGCGTCGCAAAATGTATGCCAATCACGCCCTACTCCAAATTCCAAAAGTTCCCTTTTGTTTTACCCTTAGATTATTTTTTATCCTAAAAATTAAGGGCTTAATTTCATTATAAATTAAGGAACATGGAAAGAAAACATTCATAGGATAAAAGGAAATTCCATTTATAACGTCAATAAGAAGACTAGTTAAGTTGCTAGGATAGCAACAATAACTTACTATAACCAAGGAAATAGAGCATCCCTGGTAGATCAAAACATATAAAGATTTATTTTCACCCCCATTAGTTAACAAAAGAGCAACAATTAACCTGGTTGTTGTAATTTCAAGACAACAACCCTTACAGACTAGCTTCATGAATGAGGCATAGTAGCGGTTCGACTGACTTAGTCTTATACAAATAGTAATTATTAAACTTTTAATTCTACATATAGTATAAGATGTAAGAACTTGTCAAAATAACAACTTTATAATTAAAATTTGAAAATTAATAAATAATTTAAATTTAAAAATTAACCAAATGATTATCTAAATAAATTAATCAAATAATCTATTCCTAATTCTTACCCTCTAAACTTTCAAAACACGTGTATAAGATTTATCCAATTTTAATTATATATTTTTTAGGAAAATAAAATGATAATTACCAAAATTTGAAAAACACTAACAATTTACCTAATTTTTCAAAAGTTTTCTTTTGGAGGAAGGTTAGGGTTTCAAAACCCTAACCCTAATTTCAAAAGTTGAGGAGGAGGGTTAGGGCTTCAAAACCTCAACCCTAATTTCTAAATTTTCAGCCTTTTATGGTTGAATTTCCATAAACCCTAATTTGATCAAATTCAACAGTTATAGCAAATTCAATTGAAAACAAACAAAATACTCTGATACCACTGATGGGTTTTAGGCATAACAAAACAAACTTAACACTCTTAAGTGTGCTAACAACCTAAAACAAGATCTATGTTTTCTCTATGGAATATATAACTATGAACATCAAAATATGAACCGTAGAAACCCTAGGGAAATTATAAAATAGACATAAAAGGTTTTATGATTACATAACTTATTGTTATCATAACAACTAACAACTATCCTTAATTTGTAGAAGCTTTGGAAGCAAGCAACACAAATGTTGTGCCACTAGTGGTTCACACCCAAGCTAGTAAGAAGGAGATTATCGAAGAGGAGAAGGAAGGCTTAGAATTTTGGTTGTCCTTTAGAATGGATTGGTGGCCAAAAATACAACGGCTAAGATCCTTTATATAGTGGTATAAGGAAGCCATGGATAACTCTAATATGAATATAATAGTAATATTTCAAATGCGTAATTATCCAGCTCCATATTTATCTACATGGGATAATCTAGAAACCCTAGATTATCCCCCTTGAACCATCCACCCTCCTGGTGGAAGGTTGTGGAGCCTTTTATTCAACGATTAAACAATTGCATTTTAGACCCTATACTTTTAAATAATTCCATTAATCCTTATATTTACTCCAATTAAATTCTAATTAATTATTAATTTAAAATTACTATTTCTAATTAATATACTATTCATATATTATATTAATAGATTACTTATTTGAATATATTAATCAAATAATAAATCAACATCTCTCTCCAAAAACCATCTTGGCCAATTGTTAGGTTTGAGGGCAACCCAAAATGATTGTGCTACTATGAATTTAAGTTTATACCAATTATAGTTATGGGCCTAGACACCTAATCCATCACCTATTTCCCTCCATTTTCATGCCATGAAGGGCTCAAACGGTTTCACACATCTTAGTCCTAGGTTGTTCACCAAACATCTTCTTAATATGTGCAATCAAGTCCTATGTAGCGAAGAGTTCCAGATCCTGCTGAAGATCAGGAGTCATAGTGCATAAGCCATGAAACATCACGTGTATCATCCACATGCTTAAGCCAAGCATTAAGTGTGGCCTTTGGGATAGAAGTTGGTTCTTCGGGCACTTGTGATTCAGTGACATAGTCTTTTTTTTCTTGTTTCAAAATAATTCTCGGTTTTTTGTGCCAATAAAAAAAGTTGGAGTGACTTAGTTTTTATTTGTATAGAATTGATAAAATGTTCATTGGGTGATAGTGTGTTGTAGTAGTTGGGGGAACCATCTACAAAATTTCATAAAAGTTTTGTTCAGTATTTAATTCGTTAAAAATAATACCCTTTTGTTTCCAAAAACATTATTTATTTAGAGTCTAGGATCCAAGTTACAAGTTAAATAAACGGTTAGGTGAACTTTATCCCACTTAATCAAATTTTAACAAGGTGAATAACTTTTATTAATTACACCACTTGTAATTCCTAGATGTACGAGACCTTTAATGTAACACCCAGTTCCTGGTACGTAGTTTAGTTATAAAATTTTGCAATTTTGTTCTGGGACTTGGCGACTTGGAGGCCCAAACTCGTTGAGTAGAGGTTAAATCTGGATGCGGGAAGGAGAACCTACTCGCCGAGTCAGATTCCCTGACTCGACGAGTAGGCCTGTCTGGATGAAACCCTAATATTTAGTGTTTGCACCCTATTTAAACACCTTATCTTATTCCAAACCAGCCTCCATTGTCCCTCTCAGAGCAGAAAATCCCTAAGTCGAAACCTTACAGCATTGGAGTGTTCTTGAGCCATATTTGTGTGTTTTATGCTTGAAGAAGGAAGTAGAAACTTGGGGGTTCCAGAAGAAGCAAGTAGATCCAGAGGTTTTGCTTCATTTTCATCTCATTCAAGGTAAAAAGTTTCAACCTTGACCATCTATCTCTTAGATCTCTAATTAGGGTTCATTTCTACCTTTTCTAAGCTTTTATACAGTCATACTCGGGATTTTGTGGTTATAAAGGAGTATGACTTCAGATCTGGAACCATTGGGGGTTCTTATAGCATAAAGGTGCCAACTTTATGGCCATAAGCACCCCATGCATCTTGTGGACTCCATTTTAGGGTCTTTTGAGCCACAAGCCCCATGCATGGACGTAAAGTTTGGAACTTTATGTGTATTATGGACCATAGAAGGTTAGATCTATGTTTTAAAGGAATCAAGACCCACTGAAATCGAGTGTATAGTTTTGGACATAGACGGACTCAGGGAGTCACTCATGTGACTTGCTGAGTTAGGTCAAATTTCCCACGAAATGCCTTCTAATAATGGACAATGAATTGAGTTAGAAGGACACACAGTCAATTGGACTCATTGAGGGTCTGGAAATCATGGGATTCAGAGAGTATATGAACTAACTTGGTGAGTTCAAGGCTATGTCCCAAGAATATGAAGATGGACTCGGTGAGTCCAGTACTGAGAGCACCACCTTGCATGAATATGAACTCGATGAGTTCATGAGGAACTCAACAAGTCAAGGAATAAACGTCCCAGCTAGCATGAATATGGACTTGGCAAGTCAAAGGATGAACACATCGAGTCACATGCAAAGGGTCTCGACTTTGCATCATGGAACTTAACGAGTTGGTGGACCAACTCGGCGAGTTGATCGAAAGTGACTTTGACCATGATGTTGATTTTGACTTTGACCTAAGTTGACCATGAAATGGTAACTAAACAAGATGATTATGTGTAGGATTTAAGAGGAGTTGATCCCGGCAGTGAGGACAGTTTAGACACTTCACGACACTAAGGTGAGTTACCTAAAAGTAGAAGTGGGTGGAAGGCACCAATGCCAGCCCACTAGTAGTAGTTGATTATAGTTGAGATGATTGTCTTTGTGATAATTATCTGGTTTGCTACTACATGATATGTTTATGTACTAGTATGATACGTAATATGCGATGGTGGTAATATGAGGGGAATAGTCCGCAAGTTCGGTTGTT